ACCTGGGGAGGAACAACCCCATGCACCAAATACATGCTGGAGGCTGCCTAGCTGGAAAGCAGCTTGGCAGAAAAGACCCTGGGTGTCCTGGTGGACACCAAGTTGACCATGAGCCAGCAATGTGCCCTTGCGTCAAAGGCGGCTGATGGTATCCTGGGGTGCGTGAGGGGGAGCGTTGCCAGCAGGTGGAGGGAGGTGATCCTTCCTCTGATCAGCACTGGTGAGGCCCCCCCTGAAGTGCTGTGTCCAGGTCTGGGCTCCCCAGTCTCACAAGAGAGATACAGAGGTACTGGAAAGAGTCCAGCAAAGGGCCACGAAGATGGTGAGAGGGGACCAGAGCATCTCTCCTGTGATGAAAGGCTGAGAGAGCTGGGACTGTTGAGCCTGGAGAAGTGAAGGCTCAGGGCAGATCTCATCAATGCGTATAAATACCTGAAGGGAGGGTGTGAAGAAGACGGAGCCAAGTACTTTCCGGTGGTGCCCAGTGACAGGACCAGAGGCAATGAGCATAAACTGAAACATTTCAAAGATGCTATTCACCAATCCAATATATCTGTATTAGTATTTGGTATTATGGGTTACTCATAAAACATGTTCATTAAATCATCCCAATTAAACTAAGCCAGAACGCTGGTCACATTGTGGGGCTTTTTACTCTCTGGAGCCCCTGGATGCAGTGCAAAAGTTCATCCCGCTGTCACTTTGAAATGATGACAAGTACCAAACAGCAAACCCAACAAAACTACTGCAAATCAGTTGTCCCAGCTGGAACTTGATCTGTGCTAGTTGTGAATGCTGGCAGAGTGGTCAGGCTGGCTGGCTGCAGCAGCGGCCTGCAATACTGGCTTTGCCCTCGGTAACCTTTTTTTCAAAATGTTGACTTGTGCTTAGTGGGGGACCCTGACTTATACTTCCCGTGTTTCACGTGCTCGTTGTTTTCGTGCTGGTGGAAGATGCGGGACTATATTCTCAAATAGAGTGGTTGTGACTTGAAATATAGTGCCCAGTGCCCAGGATTCCAGTGCCCAGGCTTTAGAGCGTCATCTTTCTCCACAGAAGTACAATTCGTATAAATTGTATTTACTGATAAACATTTCCCTTTAATCACTTTGTGTTGCTCCCAGAGTCTAGTCTTCAAAACTCCTATGCTGTAAGGAGAATAGGTTATTAGTGCACGCTGGAGGAAACAATCATAACACTTTATTTGCAGGAGAACATGTGTGGTACAGATAATGCAGTATGCTTTGTGTGCACATTTAAGTGGCTGGCTGTACTGCTTTGTAGCATAGGGTAAGGGTTCTGTTCGATGTCTGAGTTGGTCAGCATGTGTAACACCCAGGAAGAGTGAACTACATATAATGTCTTCCTTTTGAGACTTCCTGAAGAAAGCAGTGCTGTTTGAACACGGGAATTAAATCTGTCTTGTCTTCCAGAGGCTTTTTCAGTAACCCACGGAACTTGCAAAACATAGTTACTTAAAGTAGTTTGTGTTTCCATGTGTATGGAATATCTCTTATTTAGCCACCTATTCAATCTTGTAAATCACTTCAGCTTTTAAGTTTTTCCACAAAAAAATCGTGTCTTGACATACTGAAACGTGAACTCTTTGTGGAGCACCTACAGAAGTGTGGAAACTTTCTGAAAGGCCTAGAAATTTTTGTCAAATAAAGCAGAGATGTGATAAGGACAGGCAATAGGAAGGAAAGGACTGCAATAAGGAATATGAGGCTTTAAGTATAGGAAAAAATCAGTCGTTTAAAGTGCTCTGTTATGTTTACATCCTAAGTGTATAGAAAACTACTATCTCATTGATGAGCTATGAAAATCTGTATTGCTTGTAATGTGAAAATATCAACAGTACATTTTCTGGAAGAATTTGAGAATGAAGGTAGCTAAGAATTTAGTATTCCTTAAAGTTCAAAATAAACATGCAGAAAGTGAACAAGACATAAATGATGCATGAAATCTACTAGAAGACAACGGACAAAAAATAAAGTATAAAATCAAGGGGAAGGACAAATGGAAACTTACACCTGTTACTGAGAAGCTTTTTAAAATACAATTTTTCTCAGATCACATCTTACTAACCAATGTGAGTAGACTTGAACTCAGTGTATTGATTTTCTTCCTGTTACTTATCTTGTCAATACCTCTGCGTCACTTTTGGTTGTGATCTCGTAGGCACCAGAAAAGCAAAGGATTCTCCTTTTGCTCTGCTGTGAGATCCAAAACTGTCCTGAGTGCCATTTTTTTAAGGAAGAGAGCTACAGGAGATGTATGGGAGATTATTCTCTGCATACTGATGAAACGTCTGTCAATCTCAAAAATATTTATGGCTGACATGAGTCTATTTTTGCATTTTTTTCTTTATTTACAGCAAAGAATGCGAGACCTAACAGCTCAGGTAACAAGCAGTCTGCTGCAGTTTCCAGAGGTGACTCTTCAGGCACTTGGGGAAGATGAGATAACCCTAGATTCTGCACTGTGCGGGAAGTTTTCTGGAGGTGAGCATTTTCCTTTAAATTTGGCCTTGGTAGAATGTTGTTATTGCCTGGAGGTTACCTGAAGCATAGGGTCATAGTATCAGCTGTGTCAGGTTGGTGCTGTTAAGATGCATCAGGTTTCGAGAGAACAAAAAGGATGTTTTAACGATTAAAAACGCTAATATTCAAACATTAGTATAGTTAAACTTTGAAATTACAACAACCTGCACCAATCTTGTGCTATTAAAATAATTTACTTAAACATGCTGAGTCAGTGAGCCCTCCTGAATTTCCAATTAAATAAAAGGCAGTTTTCAAAAAAGTAATAGTGTTGTTTTGGGCCGTATTTCTTTGCACCAGCTCAAGCTCTACAACCATCATAACATCACATGCAGAAATAGTTCTTCTACAATGTTACAGAGGCAAACACCCCTGCTTTTTCTTTTCTAGTCTGAATACAAACAGAAGGAAAGGATAGCACTGTTAAGCGCTGCAGCCGTATTTCCAAAGTATTTAATAGGATGCAGATGAGTATCCAGTGAGAGTTGCTGGAAGTGGCTAAGCAGATTAGGTAGTTGACTTCTAGGTGACCTGAAAGTAGAGCTGGGTGCCTATCTGGATGTCTTAAGCTCCTGTTAAGACCAGGTAGAATCTATCTACCTGACTGTAAGTGCAGTAAGTGGGTTAATACTTCCTTTGAGTTTAAAGTAGTTCAGTGAAACAAAATGTGTTAAATTCTTTCTGTAATCAGCACATGTAAAAGTTTAAATTTACTAATGCAGTGCCCATTTTCAGATAATTTCTTGTTGAAGTCCAAATCCCTGCCCAAAGTAGGTGTGTGCCAAGTAAAATTAATAAACCAGAAATGAATTGGCTCAGATTTGTTATATTTGAAGTATGCTTTAAGACTTGTGTTCCTGTACGTATTTAGATGATTTCTAGCCACAGCAAGCCGAATATGGTACAAAGACTATGGCTCAATATATTGTAATCTTTATCCCAAACAATCAAAATTCTTCAGTGCAAGAATGACACGTACAAATGCAAAATAGTAAGGTTGGTAATTTTAAGACATATTGCTTGCAGATTTCCATGGGTGATTTTAAACGATTGACCAGACTTAGGTGAGTCGGTCTTCCTCTGTTAGGTACTTTCATTGAAGGAAAGGGGCAGTGACTGCACTTTTTTTCAGTTGTTTTCAATCTTCCATTGGAAATTTGCTTTAGTCAGCTTTCTTTTCTCTTACAGGGAGAAATGGCCTGGCATGGTTGGCGTGTGGTCCTCAACTTGAGGTAGTGAACTCTGTGACAGGAGAGCGGCTCTCTGCGTATCGTTTCAGTGGAGTAACTGAACAGCCTCCCACTGTTCGTGTGGTAAAGGAGTTTTCCTGGCAGAAGAGAACTGGACTGCTGGTTGGGTTGGAAGAAGCAGAGGGAAGTGTTCTCTGTCTGTACGACCTTGGAATATCAAGAGTGGTTAAAGCAGTTGTTCTTCCAGGAAGGGTATGTACCTTTTAACTGGAGAAATGAAGCTTTTACGTTGTTAGGTGCTGCATAATCCTGTTTCAGGAAAAACTTTGGAGCGTCTCTTTGTAGGAGGTATTTTTTCTATATTGCATTAACATACTATCACTTCAGAGTATCCAGTCAAGAGAGCCTTGATGTAAAATCTCGGGCTTAATGGTACCATTATCTTTTGAGTTTACTGCTAGTAAAAGAAGTTTTCTGGTTTTATTGTAGAGCACATAGTTACTTAGTTCTCCACCTCCGCAAAAAGGCATTGAAAAATACCTTTTTGTGGCCAGAGTGAAAAAGCAAAAAACCCCACTCTTCAAAGTGTCTGAAACATACATTTCCTAAATGGTTAATTTCTGTCAGAAACACTGTCTTTAAAATATCTCAAACTTCCATAGTTGTGCTGTAAATGACTTGGACACATTCCCATGAATCTCAGACTAGCAAGCAGAACACATTTTTATGTTGACTTAGGAGAGGAGAAAAGAGCCTTTAGTGAGTTATCTGACAGATTGTTGAAAGATCGACTTTCAATCTGCAGTCTTTGAATCTCTGCTTATTGAATATTGTGTTTGTGTAGGTGGGATACACTGGAGTAATGCTACTATTTTTTTCTGTCTTCTGTGACCCATGAACTCAAGTGACGTAATGTCCCCTAGTCTCATTATCTTAATGTAAACAAGAATCAGTGTAAGTTAATAGAACATCAAGATTCATTACATTTTTATCATCTTAGAAGCTGCAAGAAATAAATAAATACTTATTACTCAGCTTTGCATAACGTGATTTGGTTTGACTTGCTAGAATACAGCTGGAGTTTTGTTTGTTTGTAATGCTACAGTGTAGTAAGCATTTGTATTGTGGTAATTTCAAGAGATATGAGTTGGGTTGGTGCTCCCTGTGTTAGTTTGCCTATCATGATAAATCTTAGAGTTTTAGACGGAAAGGCAAGCTGTGTGCTGACATAAGCATATAATCAATAAGTGAAATATGTTTGTGAAAAATGACATAGCTTTGTTAAGTTTTATTTCTTAAATCTAAGCAGGGAAAAGGAAAGGTTAAGAAGGATCACATCACGTATCGAATCTGTGTCTGCAGAAGTGATTTGAAATAGGATCTAGTTATAACTATAAGTTGTATTAGAGAGTTTTTCTATACCACAAAAAAATGGTTCAGGAGAAAATATGAAGAAGCCTTGGGGGGAAAAGTTTGCTGTTGTGTGATAAAGGTTATGAATTCTGGAATAAAGGCAAAGCTTATCTGAATTTCTGCTCTTATGCCCTGAATGCTCTTGATTACAAGCATGTTTGGTCTGTTGCTTTCATTTTGCTTCCTTCCTTTTTGCTGTTAGGTTAGTTAGATCAGGATAGACAGCACGCAGGTATTGCTAGTTGGACTGTTAACTTCTAAGTTGTGAGTGGGAGTAAGGGTAAGCAAAAACAAGTAGATAAAACTTGCAGTTGGCCACTGTCCATATGTTTTGAATTTATTCTGTAACTCATACTTGCATATTATGTAATGTGTAATTTGGGCTTATAATCTACCTGAATGTTTCTCTGATTTTCACACTGGTTATTTTTAAAAGTAAAATGTGGACCTATTCTTAACATCGCTTTCTGAAGTTTCTGTCATTAGTGCTTTAAGGCTTTAATGAGCACCTTAATTTCTGGACTATTTTCTGTGTAGGTATATCTTCTGCGGACAGCAAAGTTGTACAGGTTAACACGAACTTAGAGTAACTCTGGCCCAAGGTGTCAAGCCATTAGTGTGTTAATGCACGGTGTTTATAGTGACTGTATGACTGCCTTTTAGTGTAAGAGTAGAGGTGTAGTCATTCAGAGAGTAAGGGAATGAGTTAAAAAAACCAAACTCACAAGCTTAGAATTTTGGCATAATTTTTTTTTTTCGTGGGAGCATCTCTAATTGCCCTCTGGATATACATGTGAAATGCAGCAGAAAACTGAAAATGTTAATGGAGTATTATTTGAATTGGATTCTTTTAAAAGCAAATCTGAATTTAAAACATTAATTAGATCATATTGCTTTATAATGATTGTATGTTTCAGAACTGTTGAATGGTATTTTCACAAATTTTCCTGGTTTCTATGAGGCAGAAGGGTATCATTCAGATTCAGTGAGCTGAGAAAACTTTTCTTTGTCCAGTCCCAGAATGAGTTGGCAGTAGTCTAGGAGAACATGAAAAGCCAGTGCATAGCGCGGTGGAAAAATATGCAGTTTCAGGAGCTTCTCCGTGAAGAATAGAAGTGTTAAAACCAGGAAACATTTTTGGAAGACTGTATGTAAAAATGGAAAACATTCATTTGGAGCCAGTTGTACAAGGAAAAAAATCGTAAAAGAAAAAGAAGTTAGAAGCAACACTTGAACTTTGGCTAATTCTGCAGCAAGATACGTACAGCATTTCTGCCTTCCTCATGACAGTCATCAAGTTGTGGAGCAGCAAGAATTGGAATAATCAAAACGCTTTTGATAGTCCTTTGAGTAGCAGAGAAGACTGGAAATTTGATTTTTGTAGGAAATCTGAAACAAAATAAAGTTGTCTAAATTACTATTGGTACTTTATCTGGTTGTTATTTTTATTCGAAATGAGGAGTAGTGTAAATTTTACTAAGCTAGTATCTCCCTTCAACACTTCCTAAAAATGTTTCATTCCCATGGAAATGGTGAGTCTACCACGCAACTTGACCACTGCCTTGCCTGACTTACAGCCACGATTAATCCGAATACCTGTTTGGCAAAGGCGGCATAGACTGTGTCACAGTGCTGATGGGCTGTGAGCAGTGGGAGAACTAGATTTAGTTTTGTCTTTCTTACTTAAGTCCCTTAAATATGATAAAGTTTCTTGCATATAACTGGTTTTCTAAGTTTTCTTAGAGTTAGTTATTTCTAAGTAGGAAGTGGAAATTGGTAAGCTGTAATAATAGAATGCACCATTTAAGCCAAAGTTAATTCAGTTACCTAACTGTAGGAAATCTGGTAAATGGAAGGCTGTAACAGGTTTTGTACAGGGCTTTTTTTTTTTCTTGGTATAATTGGAAACAATGCTTTGTTTTTAAGTCTTAGGATCCTGTATTTACTTTCTTGTTTCTGATGTGCTAATTCTGGCTTCACTTTTGAATGATTTCTATTTAGCTTGTCAAACAGCTTAAATATTAACTTGTAGTTTTCCTGTAGGTAACTGCTATAGAACCCATAACTAATCACGGAGGAGCCAGTGTGAGCACTCGGCATCTACATCAGGGTCTGCGATGGCTCTTTGGAGTGGCAGCAGTGGCTACAGATGTTGGTCATCTACTTCTGGTTGACCTTTGTTTGGATGATTTATCTTGCAGTCAGAATGAAATAGAAGCATCGGGTAAGCTTGCATTTTTTAAACTTGAATTTAAGAGTAAGAAACCTTGTATCTTTTAAATAAACATCCCACTTTGAAGATACTAGTGTGCAGACATTTATGACTATTGATTACAAGTGGCGGTTTGACATCATATAGTCCTGAACTGATTAAAAATGGGAGTGGCTTAATACTCCTAATCTTGTAAATGCCTCTCTCCCACCAAGATGCCTATGTCACTATGATTCTTGCCAGTGAGGTGTAGGAATTTTACCATCTGAGTCGGTGCAGCTGCCTGATAGGAAGCTGTGCCCTATTTCTTGGGAATGTTCTTCTACTTCTGCTAATTGACTTGGGGCAAATTTTAGGCTTGGGTTTTTTTAAATAAGTCCGACTTATTAAAACGCATGCATTTGGAAGAACGAAATCTCTCATTTGTGTGTTCAGATTGCATACGCTGTTTTGGCTATTACAACAGTGGCTTCAGGAGTTGATGTCACTTCAAGTAGCTTCATCGTGAGGCCCAAACTCCTTATTTACAAAGTCTGAGAAGAATTTGTCTATGAAGGTTACACTTTTACCTGGTTTTGAACCAATCAGAGAGTCCTTATGTTCTCTGAATACATACAAAATGGAAATACAAAAAAAATGTTGCGTAAATGGGTACTTTGCCTGGGATGGTAGAATTAGATTATACATGTTGTCACATGAATGTTTAAAGTGCACCCTAAATGGCATAACACATTCATTTATTGCATGGTTTTGTGTGTGTAGATCTAGAAGTCGTCACTAGAATTCCTGCGGAAGTTCCACAAAGAAGAGAAAATGTGATCAGAGAAGGGAGACATCTCTGTTTTCAATTACAAAATCCTTCGGGAACAGCAATATCAACCCTGTGCTACATAAGCAGAAGCAATCAGCTCGTTGTGGGTTTTTCAGATGGCTACCTGTCACTGTGGAACATGAAAACTTTGAAGAGGGAGTAAGTAGGCCTTTACATGTGGCCATGCCTGGAGGTGCACGGGTCTCAGTTTTTTGCTTAAGGAAGTATGTTTATTTAAAGGGAACTATTTCAGGGTCTGAAATTTTGAGTATAATCTTGGAAGGTTTAGAAGTCATCTTCTGAAATAACTATTAAGTCATAGATGGATCATAGATTGACCGCCTTCTCCCCAATGGACTAGCATTGTTTTCTTTATTGAGCCTGTGGATTGAGGAATTATGGAAAGTGTGCTTCTTTGGGTTATGTCAAGCAGCTAGGATGTGATAGAGCCAATTTCTATAAGACAGTTTGTTCTCTCAGTAGTATTCAGTGAAAGCAGGAAATGTGTGCATTTTGATGAAACAGATTTTAAAAGTTATTTTTCAGAACCAGTTCCTACAATTAGGGCATACATTGAATATGTTAATAATGTGATTTTGGTGATAATGTTCTTCAAAGTGTCCAGGATGAAGCTAGTGAGACATGAAAAATCAATAGCTGATCTGTGCCTGGAAATACATTCTTTCCTACATTTCAGCCTTGACCAAAACAGGAGATTGACCCATTCCAAGGCAACGATGTGTGTGAATGAAAGTTTGCTTGGAGCACTTGGAGATGAGAATAAACAATTATGAGATGATTTTGAATCTGCCAAAGAGCAATCTCACTTGAAATATTTGACAAAATTCAGAGAGGGATTCCCTTAAGCAAATCTGCAGTGACTGAGCAGAAACTATTGGATGCATAAATAGAGAGTGGAGGAATAATTAGGTGGCAAGAATAGGCTGTGAAGGTAGAGATAAAGTTCAGAAGTCTGGAAGAAAAATGCCTTACATAGTTTCTCATTTCTTTACTTGGACTATGTCTGTTTGGCGCTGTTTTAAATTTGTTCAAAAGATATGCTGTGTTTTAAGTTCAGTATTGAAGTAGGCTACAGTAGGAACAATCTTTTCCCTGGCAGCTGAAGTAATCATTTATGTTCCTCCTCCTCCTCAGGCAGAGGAGGACATAACGCCAGGTTATGGCATTTGATGGACAGTAATTTCCTCACCTCTTGACTGTTGCATAAAAAGGAGTCCTTCCTTGACTCACATGTTTGAGGTGGAAGTATGACCTTCTGTACTTTGAGTACTATGAGGATAAGCATGTAAGGTGCTCTTTTCTCAGAAGATGCTTCTACCCTTCTACAAACAATTAGGGCCAGTAGGCTCACCTTTTTTCTTTTCTTTTTTTTTTTTTTTTTTTTTTTTTTTTTAAAACCTGTAGGCACCACTCTCAGCTTGAAGGAGGAAGGATTCCTGTCTATGCTGTTACTTTTCAAGAGCCTGAGAATGATCCTCGCAATTGTTGCTACTTGTGGGCTGTTCAGTCTACACAAGAAAGGTGAATAAAAACTTACTATAAGCCACTGAATTAATTTTTTTTTAATATTTGTTCACATACAGTTACGACATGTATATTTGTTTTGTTTATTTAGCTGTGCAGGAGACTCAGGTACGGAAGGTGTTAAGCTTACAATGCAATTTGTACAGGATTTAACAGATGTAAAGAAGGACCTACTAGTTCCTACCTTCTGAAAGAAGGCAAAGCAACAGTGGCTACATTTTTGTGGTTGCATTCTTGAATTATTTCCTTTGTTTCTTGATGACTGCTTCATGATTTGTTTGATATTTGCACCATGGTGTTAAAATACCATTAAAAGTAGTTGAGGCTGCGGATCCAGAACACTAAACAGGCCGATATAACAGCCTGCTGCCCCTAAAGGAGGGAGGTGACAGTATTGCCGATTACCTTGTGCCAACTTCAGCAGTCTTTGGAGCCTCCATGAGCCAGTTTAGCTCACCTGGCAGAGAACGATCACTGTTCAGCAGAATGGTTTCCTGCTGGGCTAATGAATCAAATCAGTATGTGGAAGGGTGCAGTGTATGCAAGAGAGGGACTGGAACTTTGGTGGGAAGGGGAGGGAAGGGAAGGGGAGAAAGATATCTCTCTCTCAGCATCAGCAAGCTATTTAATCAGCTCAGCTGTTCGTAGAGTGGCAATCTTTTTAAGTTTGACTTTAAAGCAGTTTTGATCTAGAACTCTTCACTGTGAAGAACTATTGCCAGCAATGTTTAGTCCATACAACATATTAAATTGTATGGTTAGCATTTGCCCCTGAAGCTGTTAGTGTCAGAACTTCCTCCTTTATGTTTTAGCAGTTAAATGTGACCAATTATCATGTTTTGGGAAGTGCTGTCTTTCTTTTCAGCAAGAGCATGTTATTAAGAAAACTTCAGTCTAGATCTAATAAACTGATAATGAGGACTCTAAAGCAGCTTTGTAATCAAATTTCATAATTTATACTTTTTTCAGTGAAGGTGATGTTGTGAGTTTACATCTGTTGCAGTTAGCATTTGGTGACAGAAAACGCTTGGCATCAGGACAAGCCATGTATGAGGTAAGACATGCATGTATGTGAAAGGATGAAAATAGTAATTTTCTCTAAGTGAGTATCAGTTAAGTTGGCAGGGGTAATATTTACCATTCAGAGGTGACTAAAAAAAAAAAATCTTTTGCTGAGTCTTATTGGGCATGGCCTTTGTCCATACTTTTTGAAAACAAGTCATACATTTTTATTCTGCAGTGTCGTGTGTTCCAGCTAGATTCATCTGCAAAGAGCCCACATAAATTGAATTCCTGAAGAGGAAGCAGCTTTTACACATAAAATTATTCTTCATTTAAACACCAAATTAATGGCATGAAGGAAGAGAAGACAGGGCTTTGAATAGCTTTGTTGAACCAAACTGCAGACTTGAATAAGCTTCTGTCTGTCTCCCTTTCTTAAAATACGGCCATAGAGCTTTATTCTTTTCTGCTCTTTGCTTTTATAGTCTTGTTTTTCTTTTGAGCTCTGTCAGCAGGACTTCAAATGAAATGTAGCTACAGTGTCTCTTAAGTGTTGATCCTGAAACTTAGTAGGTATAAAGATAACTCTTTCTACTTTTTGGCTGGATTACCTATGAAATCTACTCTTAAAGCCAGCAAAATATGTAAATGGTGGTATGATTTGGTCAGAAGAGTATACATAATTTTTTAGAACTGGCTCCAAAGGTGGTGTGTTTAAAATATAGGTGAGGTATCAGTATATCTCAGATACCTAACAGATATAAGATGCATCTGTATAATGTATAATTCTATTCAGTAGTATGTTTGAAACTCTTCCAAAATCTTTTTGATGGGAAAGCAATCTTAATTCAGAGCAATTCTTTCCTCCTATTTTGATACTTTCTCTTGCATATTCTCAACAGGTATGGAATGAAATAGGGGTGATTCCTGTATCATGGTACTCTTTTTACAGGGGCGGTGTATTTTGATTTTTTTGAATGAGTTTAGATTCTGACCTTTTTCCTTATATATAGGAAAGCTCCTTCCTCATCCGTAAATGTTGCTTTTGAATAGATAAAGATTAGGTGTTTGGAAAAGGTGGTGTTTCTTTAAAATGCATTATCTGTCATGGTGACAAGGTATAAATATCTTCAAGTGATTCAGCGTGTTCTAAATATGGATGTCATCTCTGTATCTCTATGTGCAGGCTTTTTAATGACGTAAATATACAGTGCTCTAGAGGAACAGAACAAACCCTGATTGGGTTTAAAAGGGCTTTTAATTTTAAAAGGGCTTTCATTGCAGTTCACTTCTGCATCTCTTGTAGTGATCTAAGCACTTTGGCAGGTTGATAGGAGAAAGTTTCTTTAAGCTTTCTCCAGTTTCATTTCTGAACTTCTGCTTTGTTTTATCCTCTTTTAAAAGTTATTTGTAGCTACAGTCTTAGCAGTGGCAAAGACAATACCTTGTACTGTGTGCTGCTTTGGAAAAAAAAACAGTTGTCTATATCCGTGTCTCTAATGGCTACTTTTTTCCGTCTCAACACTTTAATGTTAAAATGTGGGACCTTTTACTATTTGGCAATTCTTTGTCTTGGTCATCTTATTTTCCTGAATAAGATGTGACAAGTGTCAGTTTCCATCTCAGAGGGTTGAAATGTTTCAGCAGCTTTTAAATATGGGTCTGCTAGAAATCCCAGCTGACACTCTTTACAAAAAGCACACAAAGTGATTAAATAATGTTGTTATGTTTGTGACCTGAGAAAGCTGTGGTGTAGTTAATGTAAGAGTTTTAACCCTCTACAGACTATGCAACCACTAATACATTCACAGGCTTATAAGAGGTGTCAGGGACCAGACTCTGGATTAGAGATATTTTACTCCCCTGCTGTTTCTGCTTCCCTGTGATAAGTGTTGTGGAGGATTGAAATAGGAACCATTCTTACAATGCAGTTGAAGAGAGAACTAAACAGCTGGACCCTCTGGGGAGGAAAGACAGGTTCTTCAGCTAGCTTCCAGATGAGCCACTTACACATGTAGCTTCATACCAAGACCTGATAACACCTACTGCCAAAAAAAACTCCAAACCAACTCCCAAACGCCAGAAACCCCCAAAAGATGCATTAGGATCTGTGCTCTACGGTGGATGCTTTTGGTCTCAGAATACTTCCTTGTAGTCACAGATTGGTCAATACTACATGGCTGTCTGCCTACATGACTGGCTGAGTCAAGTTTCTTGTCCATCTTCCGTGACAGAACATTTAAGAGTTGTTCCCAATTGCCAGGCCAAGTTTGAGTAAACAAGGAGGAATCTACTGTTGACCCTTGTTCATTAAATAGAGTTCACAGGAGCTTGAAAGACTTCTCTACTGCAGCAGTGCTTTACTTTCCAGGAATCAGACTTGAGGCTAGGAAACAGCACATCTTTGACTTTGTATCATGGTAAAAAGTCACAAATAGAACTTTTGGAACATGTGGCAGTGTCTTTTTATAAATGAGCATCAAAATGCTGTCTCCATTGCCTTCAAGGCTGTTTAGGTCTGTGCTCAAGTAATTAACCTAACGGTATGTTTAAGTTATGTTTTCAAAGATCTTTTTTACATCACCTCAGCAGTTGCTAAATCTAGTGCATCCAGTCATGGTCATGGAGCACACCTTTACCTTTGTCCTACACGATGCTTGCGGATGGACAGAGTCTACAGTCTCTACTTTCCTATCAGAGTCTGACCAGTGCATCTCATTTGAAAACTGTCTTCATATTTTACTGGTCAATAAAGTCATTACTTAACGTCTTCCATATAGTGGAGTTCCTTGACTTAGATTTGCTTGCCCCGGTGTGGAAAATGTAAAATATACTGTTTTGCTTCAGAAGTTGTCTTAGGCAGGAGTCATTTGATATTATTTTCCCCTTCCCCTCTGCCCCAACTTTGGGGGGGACTGGCTCTTTGTATATGAATTAAAGTTGAAATTTCTAGTGGTTAAAATTAATCTCTGACAGATTTATGGAGTTTTAGTACTTTATCTGATGAAACAGTCTTTTGGAATGGTGGACTTCTTGTTCAGAACAACATCTTTTATTAAAATTATTTCTGTAATAAAAATGAGATTCTTTGCTTAGGCTTCATGTTAGTTTTTCAAAGAGATGGTTTAGATTTTTCTCAACTACTCTGCACATGTCATTTGCAAACTTGCTTGCTAAAATAGAATGGACTGTACGTGCTTCAGAGCAAATTTTAGCATTTTTCTTTTTAGTAATGAAAGACTTCATTCTTTTTTTTTTTAGGGTTTGGTTTTTTTTTTTGACAGCCTTGATATTTATTAGTAGTATTTCCTAGAGCGGTTAAGAGAAAGCTTGTCTCTTCTCAGATTAGGTGAATTAGATGTATCATATGGGATTATATGATAAAGTATTGTGTCGTGCTGATTCATTTTAGAGCTCTGAAAGTTTAGGAAACTTGGGCAGAATGTGGTACGATCGATTTTTGGGTTGGTTTTTGTTTGGTGGTGGGTTGTTTTTTTGTTTGTTTGTTTTGTTTTGGGGTTTTGTTTTTTAATTGTAGAGCTACTATTTGTCCACAATACACACATTCATGTGTTGCATTGTAGACAGTTTAAATGAATGCTGTATTTGGAAAGACAGTATTTCGGTTAATGCTTACTTGGAAAATGGTGATATCAGAGGTTCAACACAATCCTGCCAGGGTTTCTGTATATCTTAAAGTAGTTCGCTGACTCTGCAGTAGTTCATGATCCTAAACGCATTGCCCACATGCATCCCACGTCCTCTGTGTTTTCCCCTTTCGCTGTTGGCTGTGCTTGGTGAAGGAACTGAGGGATATTTCACCCATTAGTCTCTGATGAGATTAGAGGAGGAGCTGGTAAAAGCTTACGTGGTTTGAAAGAAGATTGTTAATCAGTAAGAAGTTCTCATAGCTGCTAGAGAGAGATGCATTTTCACTCCAGTGGTGTGCCTATAGATAATAGCTCTTGACAGAGCTTTAGCTGCTGGAATGCCATGACTTCTCTAACTTCATCAGTTCTGTAATTAAGATGTGGAGCAAAGAGCTTTGCATGCATGTGTATTACATTATTTCAGATATCTCTTTGTAGATATATATTTAGGTTTGTAAAGAAATGTTGACGTTGCAAGGAATTCTGCAAAACGTGTTTAGAACTGAATTAACGTTAAGGAAATGCCAGATTTTGAAAATGTGCAAAGCCTTTACAGCCAAACTTACCCGTTAAGATTTGACACTTAATTCTCTTGCATGTCAGATGTAGTTTCTATTTGCCAACAGAAACAAGCTCATGGGAAATGTACAATATGATATACATATTATGTTAGATATATACATTCTTTCATATTTAGGTACAATGTATGTCTTTATCTCAAAATGACCTTTTCTCTCTTATTTTTTCCCCAGGGCTTGGAATACTGTGACGAAAGGTACAGTTTAGATCTCACGGGTGGAGTCTTTCCCTTGAGAGGGCAGACCAGCAATACCAAATTACTCAGCTGTCAGACTGTAGAAAAATTTCGCAACCATGTTGACAGAGAGGATAGCGTTAATGAAGGTTTGTTCTGATGTCCATGTTTGGCTATTCTAAAAGAAGTTATTTTGGAATCGAAGCAATGAACTCTGTTCTGTACCCACAGTCTGAAAGTCTTAAATATCTGTATAGTCTAGCTTGTTGGGCTTATTTAAAAAGACAAATTGGGTGCTTAAGTTCTGTGGGGCTTCTTTAAAGGAAAAAATAGGTTTTATTTTATGCTTGCTGACATGCTATAGCGATGTATGGTGGGGTCATCTGTATAATGCTTGTCAGTTATTTTATTCCTCCAGCTGTCATCTTTGAACAGTAAGATCATTCCCTCCATTGCTTAGGAATGTTACTGATTTTTTTTTTTTTTCCCCTGTTCAAACCTATGTCTGCATCTGCATTCAGTTGGCGGCCGGTCACAAGTGCTGTTCCCCAGGGCTCAGTATTGGGGCCAGTTCTGTTTAATATCTTTGTCAATGATCTGGACGAGGGGATCGATTGGACCCTCAGTAAGTTTGCAGACAACACCA